AATATTCCCTAGATCACAACTGTATGTACAAGATTATTATAGAAAAATCTGACAGATATGTTGCTGAAATAGAAATACTTCTTTAGTATCTCTCCTCTAATCTATTAATCTTGTTAATGTGTACAAACAAAAACAAATAAAAATAAGTTTGGATGTTCGTATTTTCATAATCTTGCCTAATTTAAAAATTTTGTCTACATTCTCTCATCTGCTACATTTTACAAGAATGAGAAACTGAGAGGCTCAGAGACTTCAAATAATTTGCTCAAGAACATATTTACTCCTGGAACAATGGAAAAATGACTAGTGGGCACATGTCAGTGAGTAACGATAGACTAGATTAGAGATATAAAATCAGAGATGTAAAATCATAAGAATCTAGGTCACATTATGAGGACCTTGCATGTTGGGGAGAGGAGTTTAAAACTGATTAACTACATAGTAAGATCTTAATCTGAGGAGTGACAAGATGCAATGGTATTTCAGGAAGACTGATCAACAGCTCATTTCCAAAAACAGTTCACAGGTGGCTTAAATAAATAGCATATAGGCACCATACTCAATTTGGGATTCATTCATTATCCTTCACCAATGTTTATTGAGCACATACCATGTAGCAGGCAGGCCCTGTATTCAGTAGTAGGGATCAGGGAATAATCGAGACAGATACGGTGCCTTTCCTTGTGTCACTTGAAAGTCAGGGGGATCTGTATTGATCAGGATAGGCTAGGCTATGCTGCAGTAACAAACACTGATTTGGCTCAAAACCGTAAAGATGTGTTTTTGTTCATGTAAATTCTGAGGCGTGAATGGCCCTCCTCTAGCTTCCACCTAGGACATTTGAAACACCTGGTCTCCAACGACAACACAGCAGGGCAAGAGAAATAGGGAGGATGTCATTTCTTAATTGTCTCAGCCTGGAAGTGACACATGTCTGCTCACGGTCCATTGGCCAGAAATGATCACATGACCCCTTGCTTAATGACAAAAAGGGTTGGGAAATATTTGGTTGGGGGAGGGGGCAGCACATGAACACTTTGAAAACGGTAACTGTCTCTGCCATAGGATTTTATAATAAATAAACTCAAGTAAAGATTTGTTTCTTCTTTAGTCACTTATAAAGTTGTTCTATGCAAGGAGTGGTTATATACACAGCATTTTAATGACAGCTTCTGCTTGAGGAGAAAAAGTATCATGTTAACCTTGCTTTCAGACTGTGGGTTTAAGGAGAAGATAAAGAATAACAAGTCAATACTAAAGAAAGGTGGCATTTTTATTTCTTTGCCCTGCAGTGATGCAGTAGAAAGAAAAGACCTCAATTTGCATCATGGCTCTCCTACATGCTCCTTCTGTGTCCTTAAGCAAGTCATTTAACCTCTGGGAGCTTGCTTCTTCAACTTAAAAAAAAAAAAAGGAATAATACTATCTACTTCAGAGAGATGTCATGAGGATTAAAATTTTAAATATACATATGCAAATGTCTACATCGCACCACAACTGGCACACAGGATAAACTCATTAAATGTTAAATGAGGCTGCTGTATATGAGTCAAAGCAAATCTTAGATCAGAGCACCCAGCCATGTTTTCATGTCATCCTCCACGTAGACTCTTGCATGAAATCTAACTCAGCTGCCTGGGCTTCAAAACTCCATTACCGGGCTTCCCTGGTGGCGCAGTGGTTGAGAGTCCGCCTGCCGATGCAGGGGACACGGGTTCGTGCCCCGGTCCGGGAAGATCCCGCATCCCGTGGAGCGGCTGGGCCCGTGAGCCGTGGCCGCTGAGCCTGCGCGTCCGGAGCCTGTGCTCTGCAACGGGAGAGGCCACAACAGTGAGAGGCCTGCGTACTGCAAAAAAAAAAAACAAAAAAAACCTCCATTACATTCTCATCCTGCCTCTTCCCCCCTACAACTTCCCAGCGCCTTATCTCACCAGGTTCTTCAGTATTCACTCACCGCTCTGGCTAAACAATCTTAACGTGCTGCCTGAGACATTTGATAAAAGCCTCTTTAAACTCTTCCCTTGTCACTGATTGCATTTTTTCAAAATATTGGGGGCCCCTCCGTATCAGACCATTCCCTATGGGAGTACCGTACTTTCTGTCCCGTTGACATCAGGCTTGGCCCTCTGACTATCTGACTTGCTTTGACCAGTAAAAAGTGACCGGAAGGGATGTGAGCAGAAGCTTCGACAGGCATAGCATGCTTCCACTACCTCTTTTTTCTCTGCCACAAGACCAGATACAAGCTTCTGTGTCAGCTTTGGCCCTGAAGTGAAAATGTGGCTGCTGGTAGACAAAAATGTGGGTGAGAAACAGTCTTTTGTAGTGGTTTTCCACTAAGATATTAGGGGTTATTTGTTACTGGAGCATCATCTATCCAAGAGATGGCTGACACAACCCCATGTCCCCACCACACACATGAGCTCTTCTTTTTAATGACTGTGTGTTCAAAAGCTCCCTCCCCAGGACACTTTTTCCTCCCTCTTGCCTCCCCCCAAAGCTTCCTGCTTTCAAACGTTTTCTCCATGAAGCTTCCCCTGATGATCCTGATCTCAAACAATCTCTCCCTTCTCTAAGCAACACCCCAACATGTTATCTGCAATCATATCTGTGAATAAACGTTTGTTGGCTACATTAGGGAGGGAATGCTTCTCCTCTGACCCTGATGACAATATTTGATCACTGGGACTTCCCTGGAGGTCCAGTGGTTAAGACTCCACGCTTCCACTGAAAGGGGCACAGATTTGACCCCTGGTCGGGGAATTAAGATCCCACATGCCATTGCACAGCACGGCCAAAAAAAGTAAGAAAAAAATTTTTTCATCATTATAATACTTTCCCTGTGTCTTATAATCTTCACTGTGTGAACAGGGATCACACTTGTTTCCATTTCTGGAAATTTAGCACCAGGTATGTAGAAAGGCATAGTAAAAATCTGAACAATAAATGATGTGAGTTTCAGTTCTGGGTAAGATGGAGTAATAACGTTCTACCCTATCTCTCCCACTAAGCGCAGCTACTTGGTACTTCAAGCTCACAGTGGGAACTCATTTGGTGACGTTCCTAGATTAAGAGAGTCTTTCAGTTAAACAAGAGCTGACATGTGGCTCTGGACAGCGGAATGGGTTTCTTTAGACCAGTTAAATGCAAAAACTTCCTGAAGCTCTTTTCCCTGGGACTGAGCATTGGCTAGTCCCACAGATGTTAGCCAGAAAGTTGGACCATTTATGGCTATAATTTTTTTGTTGCTTTGTGGGTATGTGAGAAAACAAAAAGGGGTTGTAGGGCTCTCTCTGGATTTATGAAGGTAGCATCCCCAGTGAAAGGTGCTGAACCACCCCTTGGGGTCAAAAAAGAAAAAAGGGGGAGGAGGGATGGCCTATAATACTTGGGGTAGTGATTGCATGGTGATCTGTGTAGCTTGTGAAACTGGCTTCATTTTATAGTGAAAAAGATATTTGAGGAACAGTACAGAATCCTTAAAAAAACCAGCTATTTGCTCCTGGGGAAAAATAAAACAGTTAAAGGCATAGTAGCACTGGATAGATAGAGCAATAAATAAGCAATATGAGGTGAAAAATGAAATTTGGATTTTGTGATTTAAGGTCTAGAAGAATCCAAGACACTCATGGGATGTGTTGTAGGTGAACGAGGGAAGGAACTAAAAGCAGGAAGGAAGGCAGTAGGTGGTGGCAGAGGCCAGCCTTAGGACCAGCTACACAAGGTAGGAGGGTGTCATTTTTACTAGAGATTCTGCTTCAAGATGTTTCAAGCAGGCATCAGTTCTGAAGAGCCTTCATTTCCTGCCTGCCCTGGGTTTCTGGGGTGTGGGCTGAGGCAAGTGGAAGAAGGGAAAGGCGGTGCTATTTCACTGAACAACTCTAGGGGACACCATCCACACTGCATTTATGTAACTGAAGGAAGTTGCACTCTCCTTTCCCACAGAGAGTCGTAAAAGGAGGAAACATCATGTTTTCCCTGAACCACTTGCCAAGCCCATCTTTCTATTTAATTTCTATTATATACGTAACCGTTCTTCAATTCTCAGAGTCCTGGTTCGAAACTTTTAATATTTTCCTTTTCTTCAACATGTTGTTGACACAGGACACACTGAGTAGATAAAACAAAATGATTTTACCTGCTCACCTTAAACAGAAAAGCTCTTTTGCTAACTAGCTTCGCTTCTTTAAACATGTTTTTTTTTTTAAAAAACCAAAACAAAACAAAAGGCAAATCCTGTAATCTAACTTGTAAAACATTTAATATTTTGGATATATGGCTTTCATGACCATCCAAAAGTCAGCCTAGCTGGACAATGGGAGCTGCCGGACTATTGTTCATTGGCCACAAAGCCATGAGGTGGCTCTTTCTCCCAGGTCAAGAGGTCAAGCTCCAGGGCATTAATTTTGCTGAGTTTCTTTGTTATAAATAACAAACAAGGTCATTTATTTTCATTTTCTTGTTTCTAACTCCATGCATCTACTCCCCAGGATGAACTCCATAAACAGGTGGCTGGAATGCTGGGGAGAAAGCTTGAAACAGTTCCAGAAAAGAGGGCATGTCCCACTCTGGTGAAACAGTTTGATGAGTTAGAGATTTCGTTACTGCAGGATACGCACCTGCACTATTACTTGAAAAGCAAACACTCGTCTGTTTGGCACGCACAGATCTATGTAAATTAGGGGAGGTTATTTTGCTGCTAGTCCTTGGCTGTTCTGTGATCAAAATGCAATGGTTTCCCGATTCGTAAGAAACAGAATCTTTATTAGACTCAGTTCTTTTCTCGGTTTTTTTTTTTTTTACAATTTTATTGCTCTATGGTTATTAAAAATAACATGCCCTATAAATTAAACCTAGAAACATGGGTGCTTATCAAAGAAAGGATGTCATCAGAGGCTCCAACTATGGGAGATATTTATGTACAATGGTATATAGATCTGTCATGGAAGGAGTTAATTAATATCTATCTGATGATTTTTCTCTCCTTAAGGCCCCAATAGCTGTCCTTTGGTGAAGAATTAAAAAATGTACTGACCCCCACCCATCGCTAAGAGAGTTCTGGGTCCTCAGCTTTCATTGTTCAGCCAGTGGGCTTTGTGGGCGACACTGCAGGGCCCCTCTTGCTGGAAATCCTCTGAGCTTCCTGATTTCCACTCCTGCATAAACCTCCTCCCCCATCACTACCTTTGTCTCTTTGGGGGAAAAAAAACCTTTTTCACTCGAGCAAAATAAAAACTACCCAGTATTTGTTTCTGGAGTGTAATTATAAACTTCATTGTACATTCTTCCTGGCTTTGATGCTTATCTTGAAGAGTTCAGTGAAAATAAATTGTTTTTATGAAAGCAGAGAAACCATTCGATAAACACGCTGTCTCTGAAAATTGTTCCTGCAAAAGAGGTCATTCTTTCACTTTAGAAGAAATAGAATACATTTCAGAAAACAGGCAGGACAACAGTTTAGGATTTCTGTGAACACAGGATATATTTTTTTAAGGCAGGGTGTAAACACACCGAAAATTGCACACCTCCTGATTGTGTGGAGTGTATTGGTTTTTAAAATAGCTTTATTGAAGAGCTACTTAGGTCGCAAGCAAATACTTGCTACATTTCCGGGAATGAATTCTCAGCTCAGTACTTTTTTTGCTACTAAGGTTTTGGAGGTTACCATTCTATAATTACTATATATCTGTCAGAACCTATGGGTGTGTCTATTCTTAGTTAAAGTCATACTCAGCTGGGAAAATGATTTGTTTTCTAGAGCTCTTCTTGCGCCTGGTAGCACAGAAACCAATATGGCCAAACTTGGTTGTAATACGAGAAACAACCTCATATACATAACAATATATTTATTACCATGAATGAAAAGTTTGCTTATTTTTTTCCCCATTTGCTCATGTGTCTGTATTTCTTGACCTAAGTAAAACTATAAAAATAATTCACATTTCCAGAGCAGAAAAGTTTGGATTCACTGAAAACTGAAACTAACAATGACAGTGCTTGGGGATTATTTTCACACTATAATTCCTGTGTGAAACTCTCTCCTGGTGATTAGTTTTCAAGCCTGCGCTGGAGACGTGTAATGAGGGCCCCAAGGTCAGAATGCTTCCTCTATACCATGTGTACATTCACTATTGTGAGAGCCTTGGTAGGTCCTGACTTGATTTTATCTGCATGTGATTTAGACTATGAACGTGAAGTGTTGATTCTCGGCATGAAACTCTCTTAAATTTCATGGAGATGAGTTAATACAGACACTAAGAACCCATGCGAGATAGAAATGCTATGCTTTATGACACGAAGCCCAATTCAGATATAAAACCAAGTATAAGGCATTTTATGAATATAATACATTAGCTGTTATTATGGGAAAAGAAAAGAAACTTGAGTAGCTCTGGCCCTGCTAATTTCCACTTGGAGCTGCTGTTAATTTGGCTGCATTACACATTGCAAACAAGGATTATAATATTTGGGTAGAACTTTTCATGACCAAAACTCAAGAAAATTAAACTGTATGTAATGTTTAATACAATCCTCATCTCAACTGAGGAAGCAGAACACAGGCTAAATTACTGTTCATAGATCCCTAAAAGTGGGAGTCTCAGATCTTTAGTTAATAAAACTCAGCAAGTTTAAATGCAGTCCTCATGGGGACTTTCTTGCTTAATTTTGGAGCCAGGTAAAGCAGAGAAATAAAGTTTTTGAGTTCTGTCAAGATGTAAAAATGGTGTTCCTATTACGTAAAGTTTGTGTATTTCCGCCCCCCCCCATTTTTTAGAGATTCTTGGATGACACCAACTATCCAGTTACAAACATCAAGCTAATAAGACAGACGTTTTTGACCCAAATCATATAAAAACCTTACAGGAATTTTCTTATGCCCAGAAGTTGTATTTTGGGTTCAAAACTGATTCTTGTACTGCCCTCTTCTAAATCAATGACCGTTAGCACCGTGCAGCATAAATTCAAAGCATATTTAAGATATGTTCTTGGAGGTTTCTTCAAATTCAAGGCTAACATAGTACAAAGGAAGCCTTTGTCTGTGGCATTTCAGAAACAAAACGCTGACAGCCTGAAAAAGGTGACACTCTTACGATGACAAATAGCATGACAGTTACAATTGCATTAAATTTTTAAAAGCATCATTCTAAAGTTTTTAATGGATGGGCTTCAAATCCACTGGCACCCTTAAAATTGGGGGGCATTCTGAATGCAATGGTTAATCAGAACAGCTCTAAATGAAACAACATATAATTCTAGTTTTAATGTATACAAAAGATCTAAAACAGCAGGGTGCAAAAGGCTCTCTTCTCCCAACCCTCAGGTAGTTTGTTCTTCTCCAAATCAGAAGTGTTGGGTTCACTCTTTTCAAATCTTACCTTGACCCGGTTCCCTGGGAGGGATATTCCACTACAAAAACATCTGTCTTTCTTCCCTCCCTCTCTCTCCCTCCCCCCCACCCCCGTTCTTCCTTCTCACTTTCCTTTCTTAAATGAATATTTATTTATTGCAAACCACCTAAGTACCAAGCGTGGTCCAACGTTCTTGGGATACAGCAGTGATCCTGCTTGGGCTCTTGAGCAGAGTGTCTGGCCCCCTCCCTGGAGCTTTCTTTTACAAATACCATGATGCAAATTTGCTTGTCAGATTGTCTCTCCCCATAGCAGCAGTAGCCATGTCATGACGGGATCTCCAGGTACCTGGATGGGACAGGGCATGTGTAAATGCATGCGGGTGACTATGTGTGTGTGTGTGTGTGTGTGTGTGTGTGTGTGTGTGTAGGAGTGTGATGGGTCCAATTCTCCTTTGAGGGCTTCCATGTGTGTCACTTTGGGCTCCTCTTTATCATACACAAGTGCCTAAAACAGTGTCCAGCACAGAGGAAGCACGTAAAAAGTATCTGCTGAGTGCACGGAGACCGACTGTGGACAAAATCACGTGGTCGGTATGCAGCCTTCCCAAATGACTGTTTCTGTTCTAGTGATTTTTTTCATTCAAAGTGCCTCAACATATGTATCTTCAGACTCATCTGTTTCTTTTTTCCTCTCTCCTTAATCAAGATCTACACTCAGAACTTTCGCTTACATTACTTCCTAAATCGTCATCATCTTAAAATATTGACTGACCGAATATTGCTTCCTTCCCCAAGACATTTGCATTGTGACAGGGAGGGGATTTTAAGAGCAAGCCTTTCCCACAACAATGGCCGGGAGGTGGTATCCCTAGCACCGGGCCTTTCAGCCTCCTGGGAGAAGGTTGTCCCCTCAGTTTCTAGTCTCCACAGCTCAACGTTCAGTGCCACGCAGGCGCCCACAGGCAATTCCCCGTCTCGCAGCTAGTGGGGTTTCCAATGCGAATATTTGTATTCCTGATCCTCGAGGTCTGATTACAACTTCAGGTTCCGTCTCTATGTAACTTTGATTATACTTTGCTTCATCCTCTGTAATCAAGCTCAGATTGCTCCAGATGCACGACAGAATGAGCAGAAGGTGAGGAATGTGAGTGTGCAAAGAAAAACTCCGCTTCCCAGCCTTTTGGGGGCTCCTCTTAACAACTATCTGGAAAAAAATATAATTTCTTTTTTGGTACCTCAGATCAGCAGGCTGCTCCTCGCCTGTGGCCAGATGCTGCACTCCACGCCATTGTTAAATACTAATAGTGAAACTTAAAAGATGTACTCTTGCGAGACAACAGGTGGCCACTGCAACCTCCAGTTCTGATTGGTGGAAAGGCCACAGGCGCCCAGTGGCCCGGAGAAAGGGCCTCCACTTCTGCGTTTCAAGAACCTGCTCAATGGGGTGTTGTCCTGATAATATCTCAGCTCACTGCCAATTTGTGCAACCCGCTGGGCCATTAGGGAGCGCCGCTGGGTTGTCAACGTTAAATGGAGACTCGGGAGAGGAGACCAAAGCTTTTTCAGGAGGGGGGGATTGGAGTCAACCCAGCGACAACGTAAGCAGTTGTTCCTTTCCTGAATACACAACGCTCTCTCTCACGCAGTCTCCAAACGCCCGACTCTGCTAAGAGAAGAGCAAATACACAAACTTTCGCCTAATTGAAGTTTATTTTTCCTGCTTGGTTCCAGAACGATAATATTGGGCAAAGGTACATACACAAGGTGTCACCAAGCCAGGGTGCCTATTTTGGAGAACAGACGAAATGAAGAGAAAGTCCTGTGATGCTTGTCTGAAAAACTTCAGGCCGTGGGCCAGCAAAGTGTGATCAGGGACGAAAGTGTGAGTGTCAGCTAAAATATTTGTAAATTTCTCCCTTCCTGTTAAAGTAGTTACCAGACAACCATATTGGGGAGGGGGGCAAATCTCACAGCCTCTCCTTAACGTTCTCATCTGGTAGCAAATCCCTTCCCTTCGCCAAGGCTGAGGGCCAAACTGTCAGATGAACCCAAAGCAAGGGGGGGGGGGGGGGAGATGGAGATTAAAGAAAGAGAAAGAAATCAAGAGGGGGGTGGGTGAGTGCACTGTGAAGAAGTTAATCACCCAGAACCTTTTAGGAAAAAAGGGACATTTTCTCTCAGAGAGCGGTGAGTGATCCGCCTAGATCCAGTTACTCAAATGCCTTTCGAATACAAACAAGAGCAAAGAAAATACGAAGAGAAGCGACATGAGGCTTAACCCGGGGAGCTTCAAGTCTGCCTACCTGTGAAAGGTCAGGCCCCCATACCCCTCCTGGAAAACACCACAGGTGTACACGGGGCTCCCAGCTCCCGGCTCTTCGGAGGCAATCGTGCAGATTACCTGCTGGGTTAGGTGCCTCCAAGAAGGGGACACTCGTGGGGGAAGGCGGAGTGGGGTAGAGGGATCGGGGGACGCACGAGGAAGGAATGGGGACGAGGGGTGGAAACCGAGGTAAAGAGGAGTGGTGGGAAGGGAGCGGACGGCGCGTGGATGCTGCTGGCAGGAGCCGGGGGCCCAGGGCAGCGGTGGTCCGAAAGGGGGCGGGGGTCCACACCGGACACGGGACTGGCCGAAGCGGCCGAGGGAAGGAGGGGAGCGAGGAGCGCTCCGAGGCAGCGGGGACAAAGAGGACCGGAGAGGGAAGGGGGGCGCGGTGGGAAGAAGAGGGGCCCCGGAGAGGGGGAGGCCGCGGCGCGGGCGACGGGGCGGTCGAGGGCTGCGCGAGGCGCGGGGTGAGCCGCGAGGGGCCGCGCGGGGCAGGGGCCGGCGGGGCGGGGTCCGCGCGCCCGGAGGCGGTCCGGGCCGAGAGCGCACCGGCGGGGCGGGCGGCGCGCCAGCTGCCCGCGGTGGGAGGGGCGGAGCGGCGGCGGCGCGGGGAGGGGACCGGCGGCGGAGGGAGGCAGGAGGGGGAGAAGGAGGGGAGGGGCTGGG